GAGTGCTTGGGAGCTCTCGAGTTGACACCTCTGCAGAGGAAGATTTCACTTCCCTCGTGGCTGTCCCTGTCTGGGTGAACACAGAAGTTGTCAAAGTTCGCTGTCTTTCCAGGTATTGTCCCAGACCATAACCCCGATGATCCCACGTGACATGGAAATCCCCAGGGGCGAGGATAAGGGTAGACCTTTTCCTTGAATTTGTTACATGTTATTCGGAAAAGGGCTAATGAGGGGAGGGCTGGAGAGGATAAATGGCAGCTCCTCCTTGCCTGAGCTCACAGCTGAGCTCCTCTGAAGAGGCAGAGCAGTACCCGGAGAGGAAGAGCCTTCCCACAGCCACCATGTTCCCTGCAAGGACAGTCCTGCTGCTCGTGATGCTCCTCACCCTCTCCCCACACTCCAGGGCAGGTGAGGCACCTCATGGACCACCACTTCTGGTCGGGACTCAGGGTCATCCCACCGGGGTGGTCAGGCAAGAAACCCACCAGGTGGAGCAGGGATGGGGCTGCTGGCAGGAGGAGCAACCCCCTGGCCAGGGCAGAGCTGCACATCCCAGGGGGCAGGGAAGGAAGGAAACTGTTCCTGGAGCTGGGTGGTTTTGGCAGATGCTGCAGGGCTTTTGGTACTGGATGATAACCTGGAGCATCCTCCTCTCCTGCCCAGGGAATGAAGGAGGAGGGCAGCTGGGGGTCCTCGTGGCAGCATTTGCAGAGTTTGGGGGATGCTGTGTGCATCAGCCTTGTCATGGGGGAAGGTCCTAAAGACAAACTGCCTTCCACAGCCAGTGTTCACAGTCTCTCTTTGTCTTCTCCAGCCCCTTATTCTCCATCTGAGTGCTGCTTCCATTATGTAAAGGGTGCTCTCCGGCTGGCAAACCTGAAGGATTGCTATTCAACTTCCAGGGAGTGTTTTTTCCCAGCAATTGTGTAAGTCCTGGTAATTTCCCCACTGCTGTGCTGTTTCCTGAGCCAGCACAGGTTCAGTTCATCTGTGGACAGGACAGGGCCAGGTCTGTGTAGCCTCCACAGTTTTCCAGCATGAAGAGGGGAGGGCATGACTGTCTGGGCACTTTTACAGGGCAGAGTTTAGGATGTGAGTCCACTGCAGCTCCTGAAGGCTCTGCACAGGCTCTAGAGGTGCTGGGCTGCAGCATGAGCTGATTGCAGGACACCAAGTACCCAGGGGCAGTGTGCAGGGCCAAAGGGAATAGAGAAGGATCAGGAAGGGAGGATGGCATGGGTATGAGTGGGATTATAGCTGTCATTTCTCACAAAGCTTCACCTTTAACCTTGGCAGGTTTAAGACCAAGAACGGGACCAAGGTCTGTGCAAACCCAGAGGAGCCCTGGGTGCAGAGAGCAGTTGGGAAGCTCCAGAAGAGGAAAGAACTTCGTGCCCCATGATGTGGAGTGGGTGCCCTGGTTAAGGCTACCCAACATCCTGGTGGGAAGGAGGGTCTATAACCATCCTCCCAGAAGGGAATGCAGAGGTCCTGGCTGCTGGTGGGGGACACTGACTCCCCAGAGCTCTGAGCTGTGTCCACCAGCCAGGCACCAGCCCCTGGAATGCTGCTGGTCCTGCCAGCACCTGCCTGCTGATCACAGCCACAAAATAAAGTTTAGTTCATGTGAGATTGGAGAGTGGTGTCCTTTCTTCTCCCAGCCCCACAACGCTGCTGCTGCTGCCAGCAGGTCGAGGCGTGGAGCTGGGGTGGGATGGGGGCTCTTCCCACTGAGTCCCACTGGGGCAGGCAGGGAGGGGCATGGATGGCACTGTATGGATGCAGGGCATTTGGGTACTCGCTTCAAGGGAACCCAAAAAGGGCTGGAGACTCACCTGAGGGCTTTTAGGTGCAAAAATGGGCCCTTAGAAGTTTCAGCTCGTCCCTTGTGCTGCCCTGTGCAGGAGCACAGCCTGGCTGCCACATCTGCCCCAGGACTGTGGTGTCTCTGAGCTGTGCTGCAGAGGAAGGGTTTCTCTGCAGACCCCCTTGGTTAGGGAGGACAGGCAGGGGATGCTGAAGCAGACAAGGGATTCACCAACATACAGCCCTGGAAATCCCACCCCTGCCAGGATCCCTGGTTGCTCAGCAGTGATCCCTGCCAGGGTTTTGGGATGGGGAGGAGAACTGCAAGGGCAAGAGTGAGGAAAGTCATGGGTTGGGATAAAGACAATATAATATATAAAGCAAAAGCTGCACACAAAAGCAAAGCAAAATAAGGGATTCATTCACTCCTTCCCACCCTCAGGGAGGTGTTCAGCCATGGCCAGTGGAGCAGGGCTCCACCACGTGTGACAGAGACCTGGGGAGACAAAAGCTGTGATTCTGAATGCCTCCACATCCTCTTTCTTTTCCTGTGACTGTTCAGTAAGGGGGAGGGGGAAGAAAACCAACCCCCCCCAAAAAAACCCCTCCAAAAAAACACACCAAGTCACAAAAAAGCCATCACTTACCACCAGCCGGATGATGCTCAGCCAGTCCCTGAGCAGCTGCCACCTTGAAAGCCCTGCTGTCAGCACTCCCAGATCTTGGGGAAGGGAATTTTGGCTGCAGCAGCTCCAGAGGTGCTTTCGCAGCAGAGGCAAAACCCACCCAGAGCTGAGGGATGCCCCTGGCACACTGCAGGTCTGGGAACCGGAGGTCTTGCAGGCACCAAGAGGCAGGTGGAGATCTGTGGGTCCACCAGAAGAAGCTTCAGCCTGAGGAAGCCTCTTAAACTGTTGCCTTTATCCTTCCTGAGCTTTTAGACTGTGGAGTCACCCTGTTTGCTTGGACTTGGTGCCCTCTCCTGACAGCTGTGGCATAGATGCACCACAGACCTCAGCACCACCCAACATTTATCACACACACATGTAAGCTGTTAAACTATTAACTTCCATGATTACCCACTCAAACCCCAAGAGATTATACGAGTCAGAGAATATTTCCCCATCTCTACATTGCTTTGGGGTTTTTTCATCTGTGCCTACCCCATTTTAATTCCTGAAGTGGGGTTTTTCCTCAGTCAAAAAATTTGTACTCAATTGTTAATTATTAGTGAGGTTGCAGGTGGTTTGGACAACCATAAACTCCTGTGCACAGCCTGTGTCCCCCTGTTCTCTCCACACAGAGGGCTGCTTGCCTTTACATTTGCCTAACAAGGAGCACCTGGAGAGCAGGCTGGAGAACACCTGGAGAAGAGGCTGTGCCACCAGTGGGAATGGCCTGGGAGGTTGCTGGCAGCAGGTTTGAAGAGCATGGAGAAGACTAAAGCCAAACCTGAAGGTTCACTGCTGGGACAGGGACACAGAGGGAACCCCAGTCCTCCAGAGCTTTGTGGAGCCTCCCCAGGCCCAACATGCACTAATTTGCTTTATGAAGGGCAGATAGTGGAGGCATCTATTAATGCTTCCTGTAGGACTGGGGACAAGAATAATTAGCTAAGGGAAAGGAGGTGCCTCAGACAAACCTGAAAAGGGAGCTCAAGGCTTGGCACATAAGGTTTTCTGTGCCAGGAGATGGCTGAAAAAGCCATTAGCTCAGTTCTCCCTTAATTACAGCCCTTTGCTTGTAACCCATGCCCAGGAGGTGGTGTGACTCTGGCAGCTGCTGGGCTCGAGGGTCTGTACATCAGGGACGTGGCAGGAGCTGCAAAAAGGAGGGCAGGAGAACCTGGGGGGATGCAGAGTCAAGAGAAGAGGACTCAGGAGCTCCTGTGTGTCAGGTGTTTTCTGTCTGTAGAGCCCTTTCCTGGGGAAAGCAGCATCAGAACCCAGTGGTGCTGTGCCCAGCTCTCTGCATGGCCACCCTGGCCCGTGCCAGGCCACCAGACCCCACGTTGTCTGGGCTATTTCTTCTAAATCAGAATTTTCAGCACATTTGATTTGTTTCCTTCTCCTTTCTTCTTACAGAGAAGCCAGCGAAAGTGTTCTTACAGCGAACATGAAATAATCTTCCAGGAAGTCCATTTCTACCTCTATTCTCTTCTGAGAAGCCCTGGCTTGCCTCATCCCCAAGCCACAGCCAGGTCCCCTCCTGTGCTCCCACTCACCACCATCCTTTGGGGATCCCAGTGGGTCCTCACCCCCTCCTCACACACAGACCATCCTGCCCTCCCTGGGAGCAGATCCCTGCATGGAAGCTGGGCTGGTGGTGCTGCTGTGTCTGTGCCACCTGCCCCTCCTGCCCTTGGGGTCCTCTCTGGGCTCTGGGATGACTCTCCTGGGGCTGTATTAGGGTTTGCCCCATCTCCCTGCAGAAATGACCTGTCTGCACTGATGGCCACAGGCCTCCATCCTTCTCTCCCTCTCATTTTAATCCCAGTGCTCATGTGGGAGGCAGAGGCAACACTTGGGTTCAGACTTGTGATCAGACTCAGACTCTCCTCAGACACCCCACTGCCACTGCTCTATTTTTTCCCCTTCTATAAAGTCTCCTGAACCCACCAAAAGCATCTCTGCCACCCCCTGCTCTGAGGTCCCTGCTAGTTTGGTCCAGGATGGCTTTTTCTGCCTGACATCCCATCCCAGAGTGCTTCACTGACTAACCCAACACCCTCTGTATGGCCAGGGTGGCTGGGGAGGCCGGTTTGGAGGGGACTCATTAGTCACTTAATTGGCCAAACCAATTAAACCCACCTGTGACTCGTTCCTGCTCAGACTGTGGGTCGTCTCTCCTGTCAGAAATAAACAGATGAGCATTGGACCTGATGTTCTCTGCCTTTATGGGAATATGGTTTAATCTGCTTTCCTGAGTAAATTTCGGTTCCCCCAGAGCCTCCTGGAAGCCCCTCACGGCGTCACGGCTTCCGCAGAAAGCAGAAGTAGCTGCCACCCTCCTCCTCGACCTTTTCCACCCCCCCCAATGGATGTGTCCCAAAAATAAACGACAGAAACCCCCCCGTCCCTGGGAAGGGGCTTCTTAGAATATGTCTGAAGTTTTTGGAAGAGCGGCCCGAGGGGGCGGGATGAGGAGGATAAATTACGGAGCAGCGGGAGCCAAAGCCACGGACACCAGGCAGGGCAGCACAGAGGACAGAGGAAGAGCCCTCAGGCAGCCACCATGGCCACTGCAAGGACAGTCCTGCTGCTCACCCTGCTCCTCACCTTCTCCCTGCACTGTGCCACAGGTAAGGCACCTCGTGGGCCATTGCTGCAGGTCCAGGCTCGGAGTCCCCACTGGGGATGTCCCCCTGGGGAGGTCGGGCAGGAAAGCCCAGTAGGGAGTGGGAATGGTGCTGCTGGCAGGAGCAGCAACCCCCTGGTCAGGGCAGGGCAGGGCAGCACATCAGGGATGCAGGGGTGGATGGAGAAGGTGCTGGGTGGTTTCAGCAAAGCCGGCCCTGGGGAGATGCTGCAGGAGCCTGGGGAGACTCTGGCAGCTGTTCCCCAGGTCTCAGCTGGATGAGCAAGTGGTTGGAGGGGGGGGGAGCACGTTCAGCTGTTTGGAGCCTCCTAAAACACCCCACAAGTTGTGCCCCTGCCTTGGAAACCCCCAAAACTTCATCCCCAGAGCGAGCAGCCCGACCTTACCGTGCACTCTGGTGGCTGCAGCAACACGGGCTGTGGGGTGCCGGGTCCTGTGCTGTTCCCCTCCCCACCATTGTCCACATCCCAGTCCTGTGCTTGCTGCCACGAAGGGAAGCAAATCCCTGCTGTGGGATCCTGCAGGAGCTGCTGAGAAGCTCCACAGTTCCACATCCTGCGGTGTCACTGTCTGGCGATGCAATTAGCTGCAAAATGCTGCCAAGGTCGTTTAAAACATCTCTCCCTTCTCTTCCCTTCCCAGCCCACTTCAGACCCATCGAATGCTGCTTTGAGTACGCAGAGAGACCTGTCCGACACGTGCAGAGCTACTATGAGACCCCCATTGACTGCCCTATGCCTGCAGTTGTGTGAGTATCCCAGGGATTGCTTCCCACCCTGGCACGGTGGGGAGCTGGAGCAGCTCCTCCTTCCCATCCCACCCTGCAGATGGCTCAGTCCCAGCCAGGGGCATGTGCCTGGAGGGGGCTGTGGCAGGAAAGTAGCTCAGTAGGGTGGGCAAAGGGGGGAAAAAATAGGTTTTAGTGCTTTCTGCTTAAACCAGTGGTCTGGGAAGACTCAGACACACACCATCAGCCCAAGGAGGCCATGGACTGCTGGAGATGATTCCAAGCCTCCATCCAGGATGGGGCTGCACAAGGGAAGGGGAGAATGAGAAGGGAATGGCTCACAGTTCACATTTTCACTTTTTCCTCACCTTCTCCTTGCAGGATTGTGGCTGCCAGAGGTGCCAAGATCTGTGCTGACCCCAAGAAGCGCTGGGTGGAGAAAGCCATGGAAAAGCTTCGAAAGAAAAAATGAACTCCATCCACCATCCCACTTGCCCATCCAGTCCTCCTGTCCCTGCTGGGTGCTGACGGTGCTCACAGCCCTTCTCCAAAGGCTGCTGTGGCACCACCACTGCAGGTGGAGCCAGCCCATATCCTGGCAGGATCAGGTGTCACCACATTATGGACCAGCCGGCCACCAAGCTCCTCCTGCTGCCCCTGCCCTGCCAGGCTGTGCCAGTGGAACAAATATTTATAATAAAAACTCATTGCTGTAAGTTGCTGTCTGAATTTTTCCTGATTCTTCCAGCCCAAGGAGCAGATCCTACAAGCCCAGGGGATGGTGTGACTCAAAAAACCTCTGCCACAAGCACACGTTTCTCTGGGCTGGGAGCAAACCGTGCCTGGTCACAGTGTGCTTCATTGGGAATGTGATAGCAGAGCCAGGTCTTGACCCACAGGTCAAGGACATGGAGGTGAGGTTACCCTTGCCCCTAGGTAAGGCTGTACATCCTCAGAGCACGCTCACAGCCCCACAGGCTTTGCAGGTGCTCCAGAATTAAGGGGTCAGCAGTGGAGGGTTCCGGGAAAAGATACTGATCTACCAAACCCTTAATACCTTGTCAGCTTCCAAATGTGCTGGTGGCCACTGCAAAATATCTGAGAGAGACAAGAAACAATATCCAGTGTGCTGGGAGAGTGAGGACACAACCCCCTTGAGATGGGCAGGGAGGTGTCCTGGCTGCCTGTCCCCCTGCAGGGCTGGGGAGGGGTGGGAGCAGCATGGCACCCCAGACACTCACACCAGGCTGCTGGTCCATCACCTCATGGGAGAGGTGCAAATCCACATGGGAAAACCACAGAAAGGTGAAGGCAAGGAATGTAGCAAGTGCCACAGACTGATCCTCAGCCCAAAGCTTCCTCAGTGTTTCGTGCTCTGTCCCAGAACACGGCAGGGCTGTATTTTCTAGGATACCGAATGGCACGGGAAAAACATCCCCAGTGACGTTTCTGCCCGCAGGTCATAAGCACCATGGGATGAAGCTGAAGAAGAATCTGATGCTGGGAGACAAACATCCCATGGATTGTGCATCCCCTGTCAGAAGGGACACGAGCTGTCAGCACAGACTGACAAAGCACACGGCTCCACACCGGCTCTTGCACATGGATGTGTATTTTAATAAAAATAATTCTGTCAATATACAGCAGAATGTCGATTTTTTTACCATATTTCCAGTATATTTTCATAGGCTTTTTCTCAGTTAAAATCCCCCCCCCCAATCCCCTTTTCGAAGTTTTCATGCGAAGCGTCAGATAACTTAATTCACAAATACTAAGCTTAGACTGAACCAATGTGCACAGTTTGTGTAATGTCCATTTAGCCAATGTTGTACCAAAGAGGAGGAGCTCCCTTCCGAAGGCGATGAGAAGCCTGGAGTGGCACAGGGAGACCTGCCCCCGCTCCTCCGGGGCTGGTGGGAAACCTGCAGAGACCTTGCACCCCGTGCTCCAGCCGAGCATTTCATACCTGAGTTTTGAGCAACCAGCAGGAGAGGAGTTCACTGCGTGGTGGGCAGGTCCTGGGGCTTGCCCTTCTGCGTGCCAGAGCTTCAGGTGCTGGCAGCCTCCTCCTGCCTCCCCCAGCTGCAGAGCCGTGAAGAGCGTGCACAGGCGGGACCGAGAGACAATCCCAAGCCAAGCCCTGTGCAGAGTCCTTGGTCTGGAATTCACCATAATTGTATTTTTCGAATTTTCTTTAAAATCCGGAGTATCCCCAGAGCTGCTGCTGTTTCTCCTTTCTCCAAGTTTGAGCCAAGTGTGGAAGCCCAGCCTGCAAAAATCCCTCTGTGCTCCCTTCTGGAGGAAGGGTGCAGTTGAAGTCCTCCCAAGCAAAAGAGGTCTGAGCAAGTGCCTCGACCCAAATGGAGTGACCAGGGTCTGCCTGGCCAGGGGATATGGAGCAAGGAGCAGAGGTTTGCATGGCCTCCAGGAATCCTTCTGTGGTGATGTGAGTGTAAATCCCTCATGGGAGTCAAGGGCTTCCTGCAAGCAGGAGAGAGTTAAGCCTCCCTCCTGGAAAGAAAACGGCCAGCAGGACACGTGCTCCTCAAGTCTGGATGATGCCCTGGCTTGTTGGGCACTGTTACAGCTCAAGCTGCAGGCTCTGAGCTCTGTGGGACATGGGGAGAGGGACAGACATGCCCTGACCAGCCATCCATCACCTGCCACCTCTTGCTGCAGGAAGGATGGTGGAGAGCAGCCAGTGCTGCCCACAAAAGAGGCCTCCAGGTTCTCAACTGCTCCCCTTTCCTCTCGAATCTACTGTAGCTCCTCCCAGCTCCCAGGCAACACTTCTCCAGCTCTGCCCTACGCAGCCAATGCAACAAGACTCACAGCCACCTCTGTCTCTTGAGTAAGAACTGCTGGACTGCAGTTCCCTCCATCACTCATCCCTCATTCCTGGCATGTCCTTCCCAAGTCTTTCTGCAGAAACACCTTAGGACAGATGTGTACAGCTGGAGACCCAACACTAGCTCTCTACAACAGACCTACTGCCTCCCCAGCCCACCACTCAGGCTGCTCTCACACTGGCAGGGTGGGAAGTTGCTCCTTCTGCAAAGGGGACTCCTGGGTGGACCAGGGCCTTTTAAAGGTGTTCCTTCTCTCAGGCTGTGACCAGCTCCACGGGGCCTCACTGCACCCAGGACTGAAGCATGACGGACCCCTCTCTCCATCTGCTGCCCACGGGGCAGTTCAAGTCTGCACTCTGCTTCTTCATGGGAAGAGCTTCCCAATCCTGTCTGGTGCCCCACACAGCTTCACAGCATTTACAGGCTGCTCTACAGCCTGACTGCCAAGGTTCACCTCCTCAATCAACCCCACAAGGGCAGAAGAAACTCTGAAACTTGCATCTAAACAACAGCTGCTATGTATTAACACAGACAGGTACCAAAGCACAGCAGCAATCCAACCTGGTTTGCTTTGCTGAAGGAGGAGATGGTTCATCATCCCTGATGCCCAAGGTGGAAAATTATATACTCAATCCCCAGAACTAGTTCCAGCAGCTCTGGTTGCTCCAGTTGTTCAAGGGAGACTCAAGAACAAAGCTATTTAAAGAATGGTAAAGATGCCTTAATAAAACGTGACAAACAAGGACACAGCTTGTGAGGACAGGTTGAGATGTGACTGTGAAAAACCAGAAGGAAAAAGGAAGCATATGGAAAGATCCTAGGCAAAGGTAACTATGAGGAATGATACTCCTGGAGGGGCCCATCTTCCACACCAGTCACAGCTCCATCTCCCAGTGTCCAAACCCAGTTGGCAGCAGCACAGTGAGGACAACCAGGATGCTGGAAACAGCAACAAGATGTAGCACCCATAACCAACACATCTTTTATATGTCCCAGGGCAACGAGTTCCAGCTCTGGTACTCACAGGGGGCTGGAGGGGAGGGAGAGCAGCCACCAGACAACCTCCCCTCAACAGCTGGATGCTGCATATTGTCCAGTGCTTCACTTGGGAGTCCCTCTCCATTCTGCTCCCTGCACACAAGGGCTCAGTTCCTAATCAGACTCCAGAAAAACAGCAGAATTGCTCCAGCCAGGCCAGCTGCAGGCTGATGGGATCCTGTATGGTGACAAAAAGGGGCTGTTGTGCCCAGATCTGCCCCTTTAGGCCAGCGTGGCACAGCAAGCCTGGGAAGGGCAGTTGGTGTTGCCATGCCTGTGCTTGACACAGACACGAGCCACAGAGCTGGCCCTGGTTTGGAGCAGCTCCCACAGCACCCAGCAGGCAGATACCACTATTGGTGGTCATGCAGCTGGGAGAATACTGGGACTGTGAGAGGCAGACAAGCAAGAAGGGAGAGCTGGTAGCAGCAAGAAGTTTTCCCAAAACAAGATGGCTCTGAGAGCACACTGAAGGATGCAGGGGAAACAGACCTCCCTACTCATGGGAGGGCTCATCTGAGGCCTCATTCAACCTTCTAAGTCTTGAATTAGCTTTTGTTAAATACCTGCTAGGGTAGGCTCATGGAACATCCAGAAGAATCATCTGGAACGAGATGGTTCCAAGGGGAACACGAACCAAGAGAAACAAGATTTGGCTCCCCTGGTACAGGAGAGATGTCTACAAACTCAAATGCATCCAGCAGAGGCCACTAAGATGGTCACAGGCTAGACTACTATGTGTATGAGGTGGATACACCTCCCAGAAACCTTTATCCCAGACACTCCAGTGCACCTCACTCCAAAGTTCTTCCAGTGCATTCTTGATGCTCTCTCTCGCTGCTCTGGGGGAAGAGCATGAACCCTTCTCCACAGGGAGAAAAGCCTGGTGATGCAATTCAGCTCCATGAAGACGTCTCCACAGAACCCCTGAAGGACACTTCAACCAAGGCTCCAGGTCTGGAGTTCCCAAAATGTTGTTCTCAAAAGGCCACTTAACAGTCAGGGCATTGGGCTCAAACCCAAAGTCCAGGATGTGCAGGGCTGCTGTTCACCACCCTGGAAAACAAGTTTTCACCAGGTCCCTGTGAAATGTTATCCTTCTGAGAGGCCCTCACTGCAGTGCTGAGTTTGAGGAAGGCTGGTGGAGTGGCTGGTGCCCAGAGCACAGAAATGGTGTTTGCCACTCTACAGATCACTCTGGGTGGTGCCTCTGGACTGATCAGGGGAGAGCTGAGACCCTCCGAATGCGCAGCCACAGCAGAGCTGGAAGAGGTTTCTCCTGGGAGCAGTGACCAGGTTGCTCGAGGTACTTGGAATAACAAATCCCAGCTTTTATAGAAGTACTTTTGAACTGCAAGTAGCCTCTGTTCAGGGGGACAGCCATTTTCAAAGCTGAAGACCCCAATTCACTTTAGTTCCGCTTTTTAAAATTACTGCAACAATCCAAACCAAGTTGGTTCAGCCAACATGAACCATCAAAGAGCAGCCAGGGAGATTCAAAGGCAACAGGCTTTGAAATACAACCTGGGAAAAGCAAGCCAGAAATCCCACCTAGGAATGAGGGGTAGGTGAAGGCCTACACCCCACCAGACACTGCAAACAATGCTGATCTTCTTTGTACTGAGTCATGGCCACGTTAGTCAGAATCTGAGCAAAATAAGCAGAAACCAGTAGTGAAACCACCAGATCACTTGAAATAAATGAAAAAAATCCAAGTAACATCCATCAGGCATTTCCTGGCACCAGAATAACCAGATATCTAGGAACATCTCTTGTTTTGGGGTTTTTTTTTTTTAACAGTGAAAG